TAATATTTCTCAGAGGTAAGTTGTTTTTGTGCCATAGACTTGAAAAATAAATCAAAGAACAGACATATTATTAAACAGTGATTTAGAAATGGTTATGTAATGAACAGACGAATGATGGTGTCCAATAGGGGAGTCAGATCAGAAAATGCTTCTATGTGCTGATCTAGAGGGTGTGGACAAGCAATGTATTTTGTTGTTAGTAATATGTGTACTTACTGCTTACTAATGTATTCAAATTACATGCTTTGATATATAATTGATTTACATGGAACTAATGACGAAGGCTACTCTGGCCAATTTGTCATGCCATGAGTATTTTAATGATTTGCATTTATCAGTAACAAAAACTGCTGCAATATTAAATTACAATATCAGTCTTCCTTTTATGTCTCCTGTTTTGGTTGATAGACATTAAACACAAAAAAGGTACTGAAGTTTTACTATGGGGCTGTTCTGGTGGATTGCATTTGCTGTCCATAGTGCAGATTGAACCTCCTAAAACAGACTGTCCTTCCTATCTTTTAAAGAGGCATACTTACTTTATTTTGTGTCTATTCACCCTTGTTCTATGGACAACATTTACCTTGCCTACCCTTTTTGCTGGGGGAGAAAAGATATGACAACAGATAGTTAATGGCTCCCTCAAGTGGACAACAGTGGGTAATGGATTTTACATTGAAGTTGATTTTGAACATGAAAACCTTTGTGTATGTTTACATGTGCATATATGTATATAAAATAGATTATTAATGTAATTCCAAAACAAGATGATGACATCCATCTTTCTCTGACTGAAGCTCAGATCCTCATTTTGGCTACTCAAGGGCAATTCTTGCTGTAATTCAACAAGTGTTAGTTAGATTAACTTAGGCATAAACTGGTGATAAAGTTTGGGGATATTAACTTTTTTAAAGAGTAGTAGGTAGTGAGAGCTATACTACTACTTTTAAGGGTTTTCAGCAATAATTCATGCTACAAGACTAAAGTTCAATTTAAAACACGGGTTTACTCGTCCTTAAGCTCTGTGGGATAAGTTGAAAGGCTACAGGACCAGAGACATGTTGGAAAATGTTTTATAAATAAAAATCTTTTTTTTTTACCTTTATTTATTCAGGGGAGACAAAGCCTCTCTTTTGCATGAAGGCCCTGATCACATTCACACCTGGAAGCTGCCCAGTACAACCACAGCCTGGTCTGCTGGCCACTAAGCAGCTCAAGTTATGCGTCTTGCTCAAGGGCACCTCAGTGGTGGTAAATGAGGGAGGGAAAGCACTGCTTGGTTTACTTTCCACACCCAGATTGTATCTTGCCGGTCCAGGGATTGAACCAGCGATCTCCCAGTCAAACTTGCTTCTCTAACCTTTGGGCCACCACTACCAAGATCTCGGTGTTCCCCAAGCTACTATATGCTATATGTGATCCATCCGCTGTGCTCTGGGTATTCAGAAGGTAAATTTAACATTAGGAGAATGGAAAGTTGCTCACATCAAACAGTCCAGTGAGGAACATTTAGTAAAGCATTAAAATTTTAGTTGTTTTATCTGTTGTGTCAGTAATAACTGTGGTGGCCAGACTTCCTACTGGTTTCTGCAGATCTTCGGGTTAAATCGGTGGGTAACAAGTGAATGACCTGATGCAATAACTCTGCAGACCACATGACTGTGCAAAGGTTGTGTGTTTGTTAAGCTATACTGTAAACCCGAATAAGTTCAGAATACTCAAAATATTTGTGGAAACTGATTACCTCAAACTTTTTAAGTAAACCTCAACTTAAATATAATACATTTTAAAAAAAAACTTTAATTTCTTCATACTAAATTGCATTGATTCACTCATGCTTATTAAAATTAAATTCCACTTATCCTTTACTCAATAAATGTAACTGTGCACAACTTTTGTGAGTAGGGAGTATTTCTGAGGGAAATCTACTCAAAAAAAATGTGCTAGTCTCAAATACTAATGGAAACTAACTCAACAAATTTACTACTAGTCAACTTAAATTTACAAAATGCCCACTCTCAGATAGTAGTCCTCAAAAATACAAATACAACTCCATTACAATTCAAGTTCCCTTTATTAGTATCAAAACGTTAAACATCTTCTGTCATTTAACAGACAAAATCCAGCAACATCTTGCATAAAGCTGACTACTTATTTTACTGTGTTTTGTGGAAAAAGCGACTATGCATAATTTTATTCCATAAGCGGCACTTTTACTTAACACAGGGAGCTTTAAATGTGTAAATGGAATCATAAGCAAATAAAGATAACTAATAAAGATGGTTTGAAATAAGAAGTCCCAGTGATAGAAAGTGAGGAGCAAAATATTCTGGCAGTAAAAGTACAGTGTCGGTGTATCGGATAATAAATGCTTCAGCTTCTCCAGACCAACAAAAGTCTGTTCCCAAACAGCTGGAGAAGTGAAGCAGGTTAGCACACATCTCCCCTTCAGACTGGAAGGTAGCAGGAATCTAACAGAACGTCTTTTAGTTCAATTTATAGAAAGTAACAAGCAGCTGTATTTTATTCCAACCTTCCTGTCCAGCTGAGAGAAAATAGGTGTTCAGCTCTGTCCCAAACACAGACTGAACATCCATGGGATACCATATTTGGGTCACACATAGCGACTTGTCAATCACAAGGTAAAGCCTCCCCTGCTTTCTGATCTATTTTCCTCTAAATGGGACCGTAATTTACTAAATGAACATCATGCTGTGTTGAAGAACACTTGAAACTAGCAACTGAGACCATAAACTCATTAAGAAAGTGTTTACTGAAGTAATAAATCAGCTGAGAAGTAGCCACATTTTCTCATAGACTTCTGTATGATCCAGTTGAGTTGCCCCCTGCTGGCTGTTAGAGGGAATGCAGGTTTGAGGCTTCACTTTTCAAACCTGGAGGTTCCTTCTTGTTGAAGACACAGAGCTGTTTCCTGGTTTCACAAATCAGACACACTAAATATCAAATTTTCCGTTGTAGTTTTGAAATGGACCAATCAAAGAACAAGACGCAGATTCAGGTTGTCCTCACACAGAGGAGCAGGTGGAGGTGGGGCTACATACTGAGGCGCTGCTGGAGGCGCTCTCCTCCTCTTTGTTGGTGGGCAGAGCCGCTCCCACCGCCCTTTCAGCGCTAAGGTCTGCTGACTTTGCTTGGTGTGTATGAGGCAGATGCTGCAGCATTATATTAAATTAACTTACATCAAAACTTAAGAAGCAGAGACAAAGTAACCAGTAACGTTGCAGCTTATCAATACCAACGTTACAATCTTTAATAATTTAGCCTTGGGGCTCATTTAATACCCATCCCTAAAAGAAACGTAACAAAGACCACCACCTATAGCAATGTTTCTTTAACTTAACATTACTGAGACAAGACTGTCAATGACGCTTTTATCCAAAGCAACTTACATTTCAGGAACAACATACAAGCATTAACAAAGCAAGATTAATTTAACTAGCTAACATGACTGCCAAACACACTTTTGAAAGGGCTGTGAAAGTAAGTCAGTAAGGTAACACCAGCCTACTTATTAGAGAGAAAATATAGATGACATTCCATCAAACTAATTTTGATAGCTACTTCCGGTCCCGCCCCCAAACCGGATATGTGTATGTAACTGATAAGAGGGGTGTATCCGGTCCCGCCCCAACCGTAAATATGTGTATGTAACTGATAAGAGGGGTGTATCCGGTCCCGCCCTAACCGTAAATATGTGTATGTAACTGATAAGAGGGGTGTATCCAGTCCTGCCCCAACCGTAAATATGTTATGATATACGTACTAGTTACTTTGCAGATTAGGATTTTGTATACCAAACCTATAAAAATAGTAATAATATAGTAAGTGCAATATTATGACATCGACAGAAACCATTTTACTAATAATAATGAGTACTTATACTTTTGATACTTCAAGTACACTATATTGATAATAATTTATTTTTACTTTAGTAATATTCTGAAGGCACGATTTATACTTGTATACTTCTACTGTGCATTAATATTATTATAGCATATACTGTGTGATATTAAACTAATTTTACTTGAGGATCTGAACACAACTTAAATCACTGGACAGCGTGTTGGACAGGCTACAGTCTCTTCACACTTCTCTTGTCCTGTTATGTCCCCTCTCTAGTCTGACCCTACACTACCCCATGTTGAAATGACACAAACATACGTACTGAGACACTATGAAGTTAAAGAGTTGGTGAGTATAGACGTGTTACTGCACAAACAGTACAGTACGTCCACTTCGTAACAACATCAAGACATTTATGAAAATTCTCAGAAATAACAAGGGACATGTCTTTTCTATCTGCCATAGAGATACACTGAGCCCTGCACTATTCAGCTTAACCAGCTGCCTTTTTGATGGTTGGACAGTGATGTATTATTGACGCTTTTGTGTGGATACTGTATTGTTTTACTGGGCGGTCTCTTGATTGTCAGCAGGAGGCCGGTGGTAGGGTGGTGGGGGGGTGGGCTTGAACGTGTGTGTGCTGACGTGGACCTTCTGTGATGACATTCAGTTGGAGGACTGGTGTGGCAGGGAGGACAGAGTGAGGAGAGCAAAAGAGAAAAACAAACTGAAAGAGTCACAAAGATAGATTAAAGGTTGTATATTAAACAGACAGAAGGTAAGAAAAGAGAAACAGCAAAGAAAAAACAAAACTGAATATCAGAGACCAGGTGAGATTGTGTCGACAAGGACGTGCAGAGACAGTTTGAGTGATTGAAATGGAATCGAAGAGACTGAGACAAACTTGGGATTATCAGTAACGGATTGTCAGAAGTGGAGTTTCTCAAACATGGACTAGTCTGGTAGTCTGCACACACACACACACACACACACACACACACACACACACACACACACACACACACACACACACACACACACACACACACACACACACACACACACACACACACACACACACACAGAGAGATTTGGATTCCTGTAGTGAGCCGTCTTGGCAGTGGACAGGTGTCAGTATGCAGGAGTCTCCAGGAGCCATGGGTGTAGATGGCAGCTACGCCAGCAATGTTCCAGCTTTTCTCACCAAGCTGTGGACCCTGGTAGAGGATCCAGATACCAACCACCTCATCTGCTGGAGCGCTGTGAGTCAGTCCTCAGGACATACTGTACATGATGCTTTAGTAACTCAAGGAGGGATGTAACTGTCTGTGGCATTACATCTACATCTCCCAGTGTGTATGGGTCACATTCATCAAAAGTAATTTCAGTTTAAAAAATGAACTATGTCCTCTAAACCACCTATACCACCATCCTCCTCCTCAGTGAACACATGCTAGTGCTAGTGTTCATCATCTACTCTACCCACTGTTCTTTATTTTGGAACAGCCCATTTTGATAAGATGTGTTACTGTATCGCACAAGTCAAAAATAAGTTGTGGCACCGAACATTTTTGTATCTCACAACCTGAAAAGGATAAATTACATATTTATGACATGAGGAAGAAATCTTTGTTGAAAACTGCACACATTGTTCAGAGCACTAATCAAAAAATAACTTTAGCACCAACTAGCAAACAACAAACTTTATGAGGATAATAACTTGAACAATCAATAAGAACGGAATACTAATTTGTCTTTTATAATATTATAAATGGGAAAACATAATACAAATCAATGCCACAAAAGACAGTTAATAAAGCTAAAATTTTAAAATAAGGAATTAGCCGACCTTTGATTTTAGGGCAACTGGTTTAAGTCTTGCTGTAGAGGCAGGAACAGTACAGAACACTAGTGGAAGAAGTACTCCGATCCTTTACTTAGTAAAAGTACCAATACTACAAAGTAGAAATACTCCATTATATTTAAAAGTCCTGCCGTCAAAATCCATAAGAAAAATAGCAGAAGTATTTTTAGCTACAATTTTTCATGCTGCATTCACGTGCTCTTTGAATGGTTCAATTTGACGAATTGGGAAGTCGTTCTTCTACTTGGGTGTGTTCATGATCTTTAAGTCATAATGTGGAAACGACATGGACATCATCTGGGTAATGGATTGTTCTGTATGTGATGCTGCTATCCCAGAATGCTGAAACAGTTTGAAGTGGAGTGATTTTGTCTCAGATTTGTTGCACCATTATTAACATTCCTAAAATATCGCTTTACCTGATTTGTTATCAGTGTTGATGCTAATAAATAACTATTTGGGTCACTCTACTTGGACAGCAACTTACAGTTACAACCTAATACCATATTACAAATTACATGTGAGCATAATATTGATATGCAATACGTGAAATAATAAAAAGCATTTACTTTTGTCCGCCATGTTTCTGCATAGTATGACATCAACTTTGCAAGTCAGGTACCAAACATTTTGCAAAAGTTTCGAGTTGTTGTTCCGACATGAGGGGGTATTCAAGTGAATTTTGATTTTTTTATAATCTTTAACACCACACACCACACCACATGTGCAGAACTTTTGTCTCGACCCTCTGACAGTAATTACACAACTCTGTAGACTCGTGCTTATGACTTGTGGGCTCTGCCATACTGAGTTGGTTCTGTTGCCACGGTTACTCCCCTCTTCAATGCATTTCACAGTATTTTACAGTAATCAGCCATCATAATGCACATATTAGGTTGTAAGCCTGCACTTAAGTGAGGGGTCTGTTCAATTGGTGTGTATCCTTCCGCCAAAGTAGCATGTTTTCTTTAGTGTTGAATGACCACACTTTTACCTGCTACCATTAGCAATTTTTGACATTTGACCCAGGATAAGTGGCTATAGATTTTGATTTCTGTGAGAAAATAGAAGTACTTAAACATCAATAATTTTCTGAATGAATTTTCATAGCACTGTCCTGAATTTTCATAGCACTGTCCTGAATTTTCACAGCACTGTCTGATGACACAAACAGAGACCATATGTGGCTTTCTATGTGTTTATCGCTGTTTGTCCTAGGGAATGAGTTGTACAGGACTGACGCAAAGATGAGGCATCAGTGATAAACAGGAAGAGGACAGTTTCTCTGTTCTTCTTCGTAGGGAGACAAACAGAGACAGATGCTGTCCAGTCCCATGACATCTAGTTAGAGTGTGCAGCATCAGCTGTTGCATTGTCAGACTATTGGTAGGCAAGTGAGCATCACTAAACACAATGTAACAGCAATGTCTTATTAGAACTTTTAAATTAAATTTCAAACCTGTCGTACAAATGGATTTAGCTAACTCCCAATGTTAAGTACTTTAATAATTTACACAATACACAATTTAACAATATACACCAGACTGCTTTTCAGAGTAAAGGGAGCTACTGCAGCTGCTTACTAAGACTGTGATGCTGGGAGAGGGAGCATGACTCATCGTTCACAGTGAGAGAGAGAGAGAGAGAGAGAGAGAGAGAGTCTGTTTGATTGTGCTGAATTTGGCTAATGATGAATAGATCCTGTGCTGTGGGGAAAATATATTACCTCCTTACAAAACTCCTTTCATCATAAAGGTAACATTATTTCATATACAGTAAGTATCCATCTAGTTACAGGTGGTGAGTCGTGTTAACGACAGCTAACATTGTCATATCAGTATGAGTGTATGTCACTGTACACTTAGTATTTATTAACAAATGAAATGGCTACAAAAGTGCTTATTGGAATCTAAAAAAGGCGTTACAGCGAAATGACTTCAAACTGCTATCTGTTATCTGTACAGCCAAGCCTGCTTTAGGTTAAAAAGTGTCTTACTACATATTTGGGATATGATGTTTACATGAAAGAAAGAGTGATCTGGTTCATTTATATATATCCCTATTCATGTGATGATAATATGGCACTTTAATCAGATCATTTTTGTAATTTGTTGTGAGTAAACTGGAGGAGAGGCTGGACAAAGTAGGATCAAATAATTCTCCATTTTCACAGGGTCAGACTTTTATTGTTACCTTAGTAGATCAAGTATTGCATATTTGTTTGCTTACCTGCTTCACCATTAACATTAATCAAAAACACAACAAAAGCGACTACGGATCTGGTAGAGCATAGAGTAGCATATTTGGGTTTTTAAAACCTAAATAGGGGCTCAAACAGGTGTTTGAACCCGTATGATATTAAAATGCACCATTAGAACCATACTCATTACAAGTTCACTTAGTGTGCATGTCAAAAATATTTGGTCTCTTTCTTTCTGGACTGTCCCAAACAAAAACAACCTTCAAATTATGTGGGAAGTGTTATATTCAACAGTTTCTTAGTTTGTACTCATATTATGGTCTTATGTTGCCTATTTGAACTTTTTGGTACGTGCTCCAAAGTCCTTAATTTGTTTGGAGAGGTCTAACAGAGCTGCTACTCTTATACATGTTTGATTTTAAGTTCCTTATCACCGTAAACGTTGTCACTGGAGGTACTGTATGTACTATAGTATACTAGTATAGTATAGTATATAGTCTGTCTTGACTGTATATACTCCCTGTCTCTACATTGTATGAGATATGATCAGAGATATTGTTAACTAACTCTACATTCCTGACTATTCTCTATTTCAGACTGGGACTAGTTTCCATGTGTTTGACCAGGGACGCTTTGCCAAGGAAGTTCTGCCAAAGTACTTTAAACACAACAATATGGCGAGCTTCGTTAGACAGCTCAACATGTGTGAGTAAACTCATCTCTTCTTCCCTTCTATCCTCTCCATTACAGTATGTATGTATACATTGTGTCTGTTGGCTTTTATATGTGTGTGTCTAGATGGTTTCCGTAAGGTGGTGAACATTGAGCAGAGCGGTCTGGTGAAGCCTGAAAGAGACGATACAGAGTTCCAACATCTGTACTTCCTCCAGGGACACGAACACATGCTGGAACACATCAAGAGGAAGGTATGGACTCACACACAAAAAGACAAACTGACCAGGAAATTAATTAAAATAATGACTTTATATATGCAGTGCTGGAGAAGTACCCATTACATTTTAGAGCGGATCCAAATCATTTTTCACTTCATTAATATTGCGAAATAGGTCAATTGTAACAGCAGTGCAGGTATGTAAGAAATAAACAATCAGATGTGAATTCTGGATTTTCTGACTTGCACAAAGTACATAATAAACTGAGATAATGAGGCTTCAACTAGACCCAACCATAGATGAACACACTGTTATTCTAATATTTTTGGAAATATATCCAGACAAATATAGTGGTTGCAGATTTGCATGTCGAGACTGGTTTACTGGTCTTAGCGGAGGTCTGCACTCTCCGAGTGCCCTTCTGGTTTCAACAGAAAACTGGCCTTTCAGGATTTCCTCGACAGATTTCTTAGCAAATGTGCAAAAAGTGAAATCTTTTACACAGATTACAGCATCATATGTGGGTTTACATGTGAGGTGTCGCCGCATTGCTTGTACGAGCTTCTGCCTACAACCTGGATTTGTCTATAAGGTGCTTTGAGCAAAAATGCTAACGTCAGCATGCTGACATGTTCACAGTGACAATGCTAACATGCTGATGTTTAGCTGGTATAATGTTTACCATGTTGACCATCTTAGTTTAGCATGTTAGAATTCTCGCATTTTACAAATAACACGAAACACAAATTACACCTGACACTGATGGGAAAGTTTCACAGGTTTTTGGTTTTAAGCATGTTTGACCAACTGATGGTGCTGGATGAAAAGTGAATAGATCACCAAACTTATTACAGTTCACCCTGAGGGGGACAAAATGTACCAAATTTACTGACAACCCATCCAATAGTTGTTGAGCCCAAAGTAGACAGGGCAACACTGCCTTTCCTAGCTACAAGTTCCACTGAGGTCTCTTCACAAAGCAGAGGGAATATGTGGTTGTATGTGCTATATCTGAAGTTACCAAAATACTATACTTTGTGTGTTCAGGTATCCATAGTGAAGAGTGAAGAGACCAAAGTTCGTCAGGAGGACCTCAGTAAACTGCTGTATGAAGTTCAGCTTCTTAGAACACAACAGGACAACATGGAGTGTCAGATGCAGGACATGAAACAGTGAGTAGAGAGGGTTTTTTGTGTGTGTAATGGCCCCACACTACTCCAACAAGTCCATGCTGCCTTACCTTTCATGTGGGACTGACACTAACAGGGTAATGGTTTAATGTACACCAGTTTGAACATCAGGAACATGTTTTCTTTTCATAATACAGGCAAGATTAATCTCCCATGTCAATTTAGGGGAAATATTGTTTTGTTGGAGAAGTGAAGTTTTTTGCTGGTTCAAAGTATTTGCTTAGCTGAAAAACAATTATCATCAAAGTACCCTTGAGCAAGGCACTCAATCCACAGTGGGTCAGTGAAGTGACCCAGCATTTATCTGAACAGGAGTATGATATTTTATGGTGTGAAACAAGACTGGCATAGGGGGCACCTTCATCAGACATGGATTATTTTGGTTAATACTATGCTTGTGTTAAATTCAACCGGTGCCTCCCTACTGTTTAATGTGGTTATGGTGTGAAAGTGATGTAAATATAAATACTCAGGTTAGGTCAATTTGACACTTTGACAGTTATTTGTGTGGTGTAGTAGGCACAAAATATTTTACAAATCAGAGACAGTAAATTTGTCCACTGAGTGATGACTTGGCAGCCTGCCTGTGACTAGAGCTTTATAAGGTTAAATACCAATAACAAAAATGCATGGCCTTAAAAATTTACCTGCCTGTTATTCCTTTTACTAAGTTGGAACAAATCACCCAGTGGATGAATTGACTTTTTCTCTAGAGACTATTGTTGCTGTGTCTATTGTGTGGTGGAGCTGCTTTGTGCTCAGCATTGTTTGCTAATGAGAGGAGAGAATGTTCACCTGCTCACCTGACTGACACACACACACACACACACACACACACACCAACAACGACATTCTTAGAAAGGATGACCAGATGTGTGCGTGTGCACATATACAGACAATGCTTTTGTCTGTATATTTAATTAATGTTAAAATTAACATTAAAATCTAGATCTAAATACACAGCTTGATGTACAATGCCAAAGTAGTTTTTTGTGTTTCTAGATTGCTTTAAATGATCCATCATAGAGTTTGAAGATCAGAAATGAAGGTTATATTCTGTATAATGTAACAGTAGGTCTATGAACACAGCCTTCTGTCACTAACAGAGCTCATCAGCTGTTTGCCGCATGTATGCTCAGCCAATCAGAATGAGCCCTGAGAATGTGAGCCTGTTTACCGTAGCTGCAAACTAATTTGTGGTTTTTAATGAAAAATATGCCACCCCTGTGACTTGTGTGGGGGAGGGGTGCAGGTTGTCCGTACTTAAAGCAGGATCCCGCTTGACCTCAACATACATCATGGACCTCAGAGTGTTTATTTCGTCACACTTAGGGAGGGTTTAGAGTTTTTGGCTGAACCAAATCAGATCCAAGCAGCAAGCTAGTTTTGAGCAGAAAACTATAGTTTTCTCTATACACAATTGTAATTTTTGTTTGGTCCAGTGTCAGCAGCAGCAACACACTACAATACAAAAACAATGTCCATTGTGAGCCAACAATGCCATAATGAGTGCAGAGCTAGTGTACTATTTTAGGTTTAATGGGCACACTTAGAGGGTGACACCTGTATTAAAAACATCCCAGAAACTGGTATTTTACAATTCAAGGCCAGAATAGTAATAGTAATAGTAATAAAAAGATTTGGAGGGTATTAAACTGGTTATTAGTGTGTGTATCACTGTGTGTGCAGTCTGTTTTGTCACTAGGAAAAAGAAAAAATGGTTTAATGCTGTTCAACAGACTGCCTGTAAAACAAGCTATGTTTGGGTTAATAGGCTTAAGATTTTTAACCAGGTGAATACTTGATATTGTGATGAAGTATTGATCAATTGATGATATTGTTTTCCTGTTTCTCTTTTTTTCTCTCCACCACCTCTGTCGTATTCGTCTTCCTCCTCCTGTTTGCAGGCAGAATGAAGTGCTGTGGAGAGAGGTGGTCTCACTGAGACAGAACCACACACAGCAACAGAAAGTCATGAACAAGGTCAGTCTGTGTGTGTGTGTTGTATTCCATGAACTGTAAGTCATTTTAAACAACAATTTAAAGTGAATTACATCCTGATCTTGCTTATGTTTCTTCTCTAAAGCTTTTTACACTGTAGTTACAAGCTCACAAGTGAGATACTCCAGAGGAACTGTTGTGATGTAGCGTAGGGTGTGTACATGTGCATGTTTTCTTCTGTGTGTACTGAGTTTGTATGTCTACATTTTCTACTGTACTCCATATCATTAGAGGAATAATCCAGAGGTACATAGTATTACTACTTCTTCTATTAGCTCTAAATAACAAATACTACTAGTACTACTATAACAAGCCAGAGATCTGCAATTGTGTGAAACTGAGCATCGTTTTCCTCTCCGTTACATTCATGGTTGTGGCTGGATTGTATCTAGGGACCTGGGATATTGGTTGCTAATTAGGTTTACTATGATACACAAATGATAATTATTGCCCTCATGTGCTAAGCTATTCAACTTTGTGTGAAAGACCCAATGTCATTTCCATTCGTCATTGTTCCAGGCATATGTTTGGTTATTCAACATATTACAGTGTATGAGAGAACGTGTGTCAGGCCTTAGTTCACATCATAGGATCAGTAATGTGTTTTGAGACAATGACACAGGGCGGGGAATAGGCCATGCAAATTATTTTCCTTTTCCTGCTTTTATGTTACAAGAAAAATAACGGAAGAAAATAACGGGTCAGTGTGTGTGTGTGTGTGTGTGTGTGTGTGAGGAGGAGGGTGCTGATTCATGCTGTGCTTTTTCTCTCTTTGCCAGCTGATTCAGTTTCTGTTCAGCCAGATGCAGTCCAACACACCCAGCACTGTGGGCCTAAAGAGAAAGCTGTGAGTACATGCAAGCACGTACACAAACACACACACACACACAACACACACAGTGGAGCAATCAACAAAAGTGAGACAAACAGGGCCACAGTGGGGCAGAGGGAAGGGCTGGCTCAGCTGACAAACTGAACAATCTAACTCAACAAACGCTGTGAATGGACACAAGTGCTGAATCAGTCAGTCAGACACACACACACAAACGTGCGCGCACACACACACACACACACACACAGTAAAGGCAGAGCAGAGTGCATGACCCTGCTACAGCCTGTGTGTGTAAAATGCTGGCTCAGCTTTGCTGCTGAGTGTGAACAAGGCCGAAATGAGAAAGAAAAGGCACGCTGGAACACAAAAGTGCTTTAGAAATGTGTATTTCAGGGTCAGTGTGCTATCTGGCAAATGTGTGATTTTGCCCATATTTTAATGATAGTCATGTCTGGACTTCTGGCTCTTTAATACTTTTTCTGAATATCCACCATCTGTGTTTACCATCTACCCACGATCATGACACACTCATCCCCTCACTGACCCACCATCCCCCATTTCCTGTCACATCCCCACAACAACTATCCAAAAAGAGTGCTCCAAAAGTATTTTTAAAAACCAAGCTAAATGCTAACAGCAGCCAGTGGTAATATGTTCACAATGGCAATTTTAACACATTGATATGTTTTGCAGGTATAAAGTTTACCTTGTGGAGTAAACAGTGTAACATTTGTACCATTCAGCACCTTCAAAAACAAGAGAAACGCTAAAAGTAAACTCAACAGATGTCAAGACAACATCCATGTGTAACAATTTATATTCATTCATTAATTAGTACTTTGCCCTTCTGTCCTTGGGCGTGTATAGCTGTTATCACTACTGATGCTTAACTGATTTAAAACTAATGTTTCCTCCAGGCCCCTGATGTTGGACGATGGATCTCCCAGCCCTCCTGCTTCCAAGTTCAGCCATAGTCATCAAATGGAGCCCTTGCACGAGCCCTTCTACATCCAGTCGGTGAGCAAATTATACAACTAATATGTTTACCACTCTGCATCATAACCCCTAAAGTTCAGTAAGCTTGTATTTAATTAATAACATTATCTTAATTTTGTTTTTTCCTAGAGTAGTAAAACGTTTGCATCTTTTCCAAAAATGAATCTCCTGTAGAATGTTTTGTGCTCAATGACACATTTTGCTGGGAGCTTTAACAAGTAAACTACTGTGCTGCTGACCTTCCACGTTCAGCACAAATAGTGCTGACAGCCACATGCGGTAAACATCAACTTGAAGTTCCTGGCTGGCTTTTCTAAGTGCTTTGCCATGGATCTTTCAAGCCAGTTGATTTACACACACCAGTCCTAATACAGAAGTAATCACTTTCTTCAACAGTTTAAGACATTTATTTGAATGTAAATTTAAAGTGTAATTGAAATATGGCATATCTACTACATCACAGTGAATATATTATCTGGACATAAATCTCATCCAACCTGCTACTTTCCGCCTAGCTGTTATGTTATATCACCACTAGGGGGAAGCAGTGCGTAGTGACATATTTGGAGGCCTGTAGATGAATGTGTAACAAGCTGAATTCACTAAAACCTTAGATTGCAGTGAAATTACAATTGTTGCATTGTAATTTGTATAGTCACACTAGGGAAACATGCTGCCCTGCAAAGGCACAGAGCAGTTTACAGTAGCACTGAAGTTGAGATAGGCTGCCGAGAAAGTACTGAACAAATAGAAAGGTTGTAATACCTGCATTTTATACATTTAAGTGCTGTTTTTTACGCAAAAGATTCACTGGCATGAGCATACATGATATCTAATAAGGTGCAGATACTGCACTCTGCTGTTGGAGAAGTACTACTTTGTTTCGAAAAGAAACTATATTTTGATAACTTATAGTTTCATTAAGGCATCGAGTGTGTCTCTGTTTTTGCGATGTGTCTGTGTATTGTTTACTACATATATATATGTGATTTAAAATGATGAATGAATGAATTCCACCACAGCCAAGAGCTCAGATGGCAATTACTGCTACTCTGATATGCTAGGCTAGCTAGCCAAATTAGTTTAGCTGTTTTTATTTTCTTCATTCAAAACTAAATTTAGCGGCAACCTCATTTAGTAATGGTATCAACCTGAACCTTGATTACAGGGAGCTAAGGAGAGGGGGGAAAGTACATTTAGTTTTAACTGAGACTTAACTGAGGAGTTTGACTGGAATGCTTCCGCCAGAAAGCCTAACCAACTAGTCTTGCTGTAACCAGAACTGCGAGCATTTAGGCACCAAAGGTCCTTAGCTAGGTTTATGAAAAGATCATGGTTAACGTTGACTTTTGGTTTCACACAGGACACAAAGAGCAGTCTCGGTAAAAGTCCTGTGTTTGACCCATCCATCCACCCTAAACTGTTCCCCATGCAGACTTTGTCACTCTTTATACTACCTCACCTGTCACCTGTCTTCCTGAAGCCTTTCTGGCAGAATGCCTTGAAGGCTAAATTCTCCCATGTGTGCTTGCTTTAACTTGTCTCTTTTGCTTTGGCTGTCTGTTTCTCCGTGACAGTACAGTGGATTTTATAACCCAGATGTTACCAGGCCACAGAGCAGAATTGCTGCCTACAAAACCAAAATGCAGTAACTACACAGCTAGTTACTGCACTTTGACTTGGTTTTTAGGTCCATTTTGTAATAACTGCAAATTGTAGCTATATGCTGTTTTCATGGAATTACATTTCTGCAACATTTTTTTATATGGCAATACACATATATATTTATTTATGTGTAACAACTTTATTAATTCTAAATGAGCAACAAAGTGTGACCAAAGAGAGTGAGAAGACAGCCAAGTGAAAATACACATCCTCTCCTCTTCTTCCTCAGCCATCCAGTGAAACCGCTTCTTGCTCTACCAGTGGGCTGACAGGAGGACCAATCATATCAGATGTTACTGACATGTCTCAGGCCACCATGACCCTCCAGATGCAGCCTGATGAGACCAGGTGGGCGATGCAATAAAACATTATTATTTCACATTCCACCCCCACCATCAGCTCTACATATATTGCATCATCTAACAACAAATCCCCCCTGGACTATTGTGAAAGAGATGGATATTGGATCATACAATTGTAAATGTAGACAATGTGCAGTATGAAACAACATCTCAAAACATGTTGTCTATCTTGTGAAAGTGTATGTTTTCTTGGCCCGCCTTGAGCTACTTCTGACTCACAGTATTCAACTCTACCAACAGGGAGAAGTGCATGATGCTCATCAAAGAGGAGCCTGTGAGTCCAGGAGTGAGAGGAGGAGGGAAAGGAGGCAGTGTAGGGGGAGGAGAGGCAGTAGCGTTGACCTCCCCCTGTGAGGTGTGCTCCTCAGAACCTCCTGTCCTCCCCGTCGCAATGGTCCAGTCTGTTCTGGAGGGGAGGGGATCTGTAGCCTCTATGGTGGAGAGGAGGAGTAAGAGGCCTGCCTTGGACAGGTAGGTGCTCACACAAGATCACATGTGGACATCCACATAGAGAATGGGGATGTGCAAGTGGTGAGGAAATGAGTCTGTGTGTCTCTGTTTACATGTTACGTATTAATGTGTGTGTTTGTGTTTGTGTGTGTGTGCAGAGTGGAGGTTTCAGATACAGTGGAGAATGTGGATATGAGCCTGGAGGAGCTGCAGCAGCTGCTGCTCAGGAGCCATCAGCAGAGTACTGTGGAAGCTGGGACCAGCACTGTTATGGATGTCAGTAGATCTGTACTGTGCATACACATACATATAGAAACACTTTGACAGACATCTTGTTTAACAGATTCATATATGTCTGATATTTGAGATTTCAAACGATTATCTCTATATGTCACTGCTTATACAGTTCACAGTGGCAAATGAGGTGAACTATACCTTCACACTGACCTGCATTAATACATTTTTTCTCACTCCTGTTTCTCTCTCTCTCTCCCTCTGTAGCCCTTCAGTTTAAGCCTGCCTCTGGCAGAATGGAACTTCACAGAGATAGAGTCCAACCTCAAATCAGTAAGTCATACAGTGTGACAACCGTTTAGATATTAAGTGAAGAGAGCTTGGAGGAAAGTGATGTCCTAGTCAGGAGTAACCACCTTCTCCTTTAATCGCACATTGTGATGGCAGTTTCTCTGCTAACTACTCTGTTATCATCCCAAGATATAACCTTACTTATTACATTGCTCATTGATAATTGAGGATTATAACAATCATATCAAAGTGGGGTGAGGGTTAAACAAAGTGCTGTTATCCTTTGGTTATTTGAAGGTCTTTTTGAAGACTGCATTTGTTAAAACGGTATTTCTTTGTTCACCAGCAAAAGGTGGAGATAGATGGATGCTACATTACAGTTTTTCTCCTTCGCTTGAACACTATAACCAGGCTTTTGAACTAAAATTTCAAAACCATAACTCCATTTTTCAAAAAGCACACCCATTCCCCTAAACTCTACACACAAATCCCTTCATTTCTCATTGCCTACAGCATGTGGTCATTGAGAAAGCACTAACATTTGAGACTGTTCACTCAATCCGCACAGGTTGAGCTCAGTTAGCACACAGCTACCCAGGTGGAAACACAAACAGTCAAAATTGATAACACACCAATCAGAAGCTTCAATAGATCCGAAGTCAATTCATTCAGTTTTGGAACAATAGATCAAGAGAAATCTGATGGAAGAGATGTAGAACACCAGAGAGGAGGAGGAGGAAGAGGACGAGCAGTATGGAGAGGAGGAACAGGTGAAGGAAGAGGAACAGTAGGAGTTGGAGCAGGAGATGGGATAGGAGGAAGATGAGGAGGTGGAGGAAGAGTAGGGAGGAGGAGGAGTAGGTGGTGAAGGAGTTGGAGAACAAGAATCTCTGGCCTGTTCCAGACCAAAGACAGGACACTGGGGCAGAATAATTTGTTGTTTGGTGTGTTGTACTGTACAGTACACTAAGGAATGAAAAATGTGTGCAAATGTTTACATTTGTTATTCTTTTTGTTGTGTTCATCATGTGAAAAGGTTTTTGAGGGGGAGAACCACATGCAACATTACTAATAATCATTTTTTGTGGTATTGTTTTGAATTTATCTTACCAGTGTGTAAGACTGTGTGGTAGTGTGTGTGTTTCTGAGGGCTTGTGTGCCATGTCTGAGGGCAAAGTTTGGTTTTTCTGCAAGATTGAATGGTTTTGATTAGAAAGCTTCATTTTGACCTGAAAATATGATGTTTGGGGAATTGGGTGAGAAGTTGTGGATTTGTGTTTAGAGTTTCGAGAAAAAGAGGCATATTGTAATTTCAAGAAATGTGTTTAAGCAATCGAGAAATACTGTAACTGATTATGTTTGGCCGTTTAAGGGCACTGCAACATGCTATAAACACCACAGCCAGGTAGTGTACAGTAGGTTTTCAGAGCTTTTCTGTTCAGGAACGCAGCTGATGAGAGCGGAGAAACCTAACCAAAACAGAAAGGTTCAGCACTATTACACCAAAACAATTAGCTAAAAGAGGCTAAAACACTCTGTAGAGGTGAAGGGGCAGTAACCATTTTATCCCACATTATCCCCATCAGTAACCTTACACAGTAATCTGCCAGGGTTTTATGCTTAATTGTATTGGATAGGCGAATGCAACCCCACAGCGTTGCTCTACATCGGGTCACGTGCTGTGCCAGCACAGTCTTACTGACATAAATGAGGATGTAGGTTTTTTGAGGCAGTGTAAATGGCGGATTGAATACAATCTTGGGGCATCAACAAAGAGGCCTGTCTGATCCGCTGATTGCAAAGATACAATGTGGTTTACTATGTAAACAACACTCACACCAGTGAAGAGTAGAAACATTGGCTGTGGTTTCCTGCAAAAGTAGAAGAAGGATTTCACACAAAGCTTATAATAGTGTCAGCTGCGAGGCTCAGGCTGAAGATTCTGTGCCTCCCACTCCTTCACAGTTTGTACCTCCAATGTCAGAGAGCTAACCTACTAGCAAAGAAAATCAATTAAGTCACTCAATTTTCTGGCCACCTTGGATTGAATAGTCAGGATGGTGAGGCTGTTTAATCTGTCTTGACACATTGTGGAGCTTTAAATAGTCTTTAATGCAAGTCACTTTGTAAAACCTCTCTCAACACTAGCAACTGCCTAATAGTATACAGGACCTCTCCAAAAATCTTAACAGCTGAAGTAGAGAGATGTTAGGTGGGAAACTGGTGCCATGAAATGATAAATTATTTATAAAGTAGTTTCAAATGATTACTTGCTTGCCTAATAAGCCATATGACATTTGTTCTCATCAGTGACCCGGAATGGTTAAACAGCAGCTACTTCCCTAAATGGTTCCTGCTGTTTTGTAATGTGTGAATCACTAACTATGCTGATGCAACAGAAAACACTGTTGCAAAACACAAGCGCTGCACTTATGAACTCAACTTTGGCCATCTCATCATGAAAATGTTTTCTTTTGTGGAATTGGGGTGCTTAACGTCTGTCTCATTTGCCACTAGAGTGGTTACTTTATCAAGATAAATATTTGCTGATTGGAGAATATTTCTGTCATTGCACTGCAACACTGAGCCAAACTGCAAGGAGCACAACTGCGTTGCAAAATCTTATGTTTTTAGACTGAATGTGTCTTATCTTGCTTCACTTCTGAGCACTGAGAGTGGTCTGAGAGTCAGTGAGGAGAACAACCAGCCTGGGCAACAAACGTAAATGTAAAATGACAGCAGACACAAGACAAGTTGTTCTTTCACAGTGAGTTATGTTCTGGAACCACCTGTTTTTATGCACGTTTTCAATTTGCGCAAAAAGTGTTGCTACACAAAGTGCAATGGGAACAGACTTACTGAATAAATCATGAAGCATGTGATGAAATGTCCAGCAAAGCCTTTGCTCCACTGATGAGATGAAAAATTGCCACAGACAAATATATCAGACCGTTGTGGAGCAGTGAAGAGACTGTTACCGTCTTCAAATTAATATATTAAACAAAAAAAAAATTTCAATCACGTTTTCCCACACTTAATTACGTCATTTCCTTGTGCCTTCTTTTTCTGTTTTTTCTTTGTTCTCGGCTCCAGACTGGAGAATTAGCCAACCTGTCCTCACCAGAAAACGGCTATATAAGTCCACTGTACAAGCAGCTTACTGTATTGTTAGGCCTCGACCTCTAGTGGCCATAATAATGGTGAAGGGTGCAAATGAGGAAGTCACGTATGTAGGATAAAGAGCAAGAAAGACAGTGGATGGATAGGTTCAACAAACTCAGGACTCTCACCCATAAGACTGGGGTTTGATTCCCATGTGAAACCGTGTCAAAGTTATAGTCACATACACATACATGTTGAGAAATTCATTCTCTGCATTTAACCCATCCCTCAAGATAGCTGTGGGCAGCATTACATAGGTGACTTATGTACTTATTTTTACCCAAACCATGATGTTTTCCAAAACCGTTTTGTTGCCTAAACCTAACCCTAACCAAACTATGGCCGTTTCACAACATTAACCACATGTTTAACGTCACGTGACTTGTGTAATGTACTTAAGGAGCAGCACGCTAGTTTGGTTAGGTTTAGGCAACAAAACTACTTGGTTATGTTTAGAAAAAGATAGTGGTCGGTCTCCAGGGTGAAAGTCCTGTTTCCATCCACCCCACCCACCTCCCAACATGGACTTTTTTGATATTTATACTGCGTCACCTGACTTCCTTATTTGCTCTCTTCATACTAACAACACATATAAATATGGGTCGTAATAAGCTGCTTGCACAATCGACCTATACAGCTGTTCTCCTGGTGAGGGCAGTGCTTTCTAACAGTGATATGTGTCATTTAAGGAGTCATCGATCGACTAATTTTGTTGTTTAGGTATGAGGACTTGTTGCAGCTAGCACCACCATGCTTTCCTTTGACCAGGAAATTACTGTGACCCGGGCCACTGGTCGCCAAGAAATAGAGAACAATGAGATGAGAACATAACCTCCTCATAAAATCACAACTAGTAATTTTGTATGAATTAAACAAACGAGATACTTTTTTTTTTCTTTGAAAAGAGCCAGGCTAGCTGTTTATCCCTATTTCCAGTCCTTATGTTAAATTAAGCTAATTGTCTAGCTAATGGCTCTAACTGCATAATTGACAGACAAATATGAGAGTAGTGTCAATCTTTTTATGTAACTCATATGATGATAAAATGTCAAACTATTCCGATAAAGACATGACAGGCACGAGGCAAGTAAGCTTACAGAGGATTTTCTGCTACCATTTTTTAATAAGGAATGTATGTAACAGTTTTATAATTTTAACTAATTACTTCATCAAAGTCTATAAATCATTTACTGTTTAATGGCTTTATTGATCGGCTAAAAGTCATAAATAAGAGTACCTTTTAAGTTGACAGGTTGTGAAATATCTCTCTTGTGGGTGAGTCATAATGAAGTATAATAGTCAACAGTCATTAACAAATGTTCATGACTGTCTCACCATCTAATAGGCCATTAAGTTGTTGCTGCTAAAAAATTAATAAGTCAATAATAAAGGGTATTAAACATCAATTCTGCAGTTTCTATAAGTTGTAAAATGTTACATGTGATAGTAAATGTATACAAACCTCTTCCAAAAGGTCAGAGGTCAAGTGGTCCATTGCAGGGTTTGCCTGATGAACTGCAAACCAAAATAACAAAGCAAGTACCCTGCTGGTGGAGAATAAACACCAGCCAGACAGATCTGTCACTCCCTGGAAACCCAAAACTGTTGTCAACTGTCAATAATGGCTTATCACTTTTTAATAGAGCATTAGTAAACACCCATTAACCATTAGAAAGCCATTTGTTACAACTACACTGATATGGGTGACTTATCAGAAAATGGTATTAATTTCTCTGCAGACTATCATACCCTTGCCTACTGCAGGGCCATACCCCTGTCATATAATGTACTATTCTAGAGTTTTACAACAATTTCACTGCCTCCTGAAAGTTGAGACCTCATGAAAGTCTCAACATTCCCACTATTGATTACATTACATCATCCTTTTCTTCATCATAGTGCACAAATCTGACCAGCAGAATGTTTAGCTATGTAGAAGAAGCTGATTTTAGAGCCTTCCTTCCTCTTACTTCGTTAAGCTCTGGTATCAGAGTTCAGATAATAGCAAAGTCTGCGCTTCTCTAAAAGTGGATCATAGCATATCAACAGCTCTTGCAGACCTAAAAAAGTCATTATCGTCCATCATCCAGAGCTTTAGATATCCTTCTAAAAGGCAAATTCCTTGATGCGTGGTGTAATAGCTCATCGAAAAGACAGCTAATTTCTCATCTGCCTCTGTTTGGTTTTGTTTATGCAGCTGACAGTCAATACGACTCCCAGTAATTAGAGTGCTGCAGGTTTTTCCACTTCCAGTCACATTCCGTGTGTGCCGTGTTCGCCTCATGTTCTCGTTAGTTATCATCTGGGATGCAAACTCACCAGGGTGAAAAAGGTGAAAAAGATGCAAAATTTTTTATATCAGCTTTATAAAACAGATAGTCTTGTTTGTAGGGGCATTTATAATTGATGTCACAACCACTACAATTAACAGAACTGTCTCAAGGTTATTTCATTATGTTGTTGCTTGGCATTTGACCCCTTCTCAAGTGACATAATTAGGCTTCTGTAACAAGCCATTTGACTACATCATAAGTAACTTAGGTCCATTTGAACTAGGTTAAATTTATATACTGTTCTCTCATGAATTAGTCTCATGTTTCAAAACAAATACAAAAGCGTAATTGCATTGTGGTTATGACAGTATGAGCCTTGATAATTTTATCTTATCAGGGGCTAACATTAAGTTGGCTTAACTTATGTTGTAATCATCAGCAAAATGGTCATGTTTGTAACAAAATAAATGAGTAGTCCCAGAACCCTAACGTCAGAAGCTTAAATTTTTTGCAGAATTTAGAATTACAAGTACTCTAGCTAACGACTCCATGGTTAATAAATGTTAACACCTGTTGTTACATCCAAATTGGTTAGCGTTCACTAAATCAAAAGAACTCAACCTTCTCGGGCTAATTAACGGTACCGAGCATGACATATGACATAAAAGCCAATTAAGGTTATCATAGCGCTACTCTAAGACATCCTTAAGGCATGCGGGCAGTCAAAAACTGACCAAAACAGAGACGGCCCTCTTCAGTCTTCAAGTCTTCAATGACCTATTTTTAGGACTGTCCCCAACTAAGGATTTACAAAGTCGAATCGGAATCGTGAAGTCCTGCCTACTGATAGTCGAATCGTGTGTTTTTGTGCACGGCGATTGCGAGCCAAAGCTAAACAGAGGCTGACCATTTTCTCTCTCTCTCTCTCTCTCTCTCGGCTGTAATTCACTGGTCTTGTGCAGAGTTTTGCGTGCTGCCGACAACTGCATGCACGTTGCGTTTCCTCGCGGGTCTATTTCAAGTAGACGGCTGTTTAAATACGATTTAATATTCTTGCATGGTTCATCAACAGTGAGGTCCCGCAAGGACAACCCAGCCCAACACCGGTCATGCTAGGGCTTGGTCTTTTCAGCAAGTGTTCCTCCACTGCCACTACACACATACACACATACACACTACGCCTACACATGCGCACTGACGACCCAGGGTTGGGGTTACAATTTTGGATTTATTTACACACTTAAAAAATATTTATTGAAATTTTTTTTTCTTATTACACGTTTATTTACAGCATTAAACATTGAAATGTGCATTGTAATAGGCTGTAGCCTATATTAACTTATGGTGTTTCGCTGCGAAGCTTCAACTGTGAGATTGACAGTCGAATCAGGCTCCGCCCATCGAAGCATCAAATCTTCGACTATTCGGGGTCACCCCTACTTTCTGTTGCTCCTTTGTAAAAGGGTTACATAACTTACAATAACTTGGCAATTTCCTTTATTAAACAGAAAATATACAAGCATACTCTCTGAATTCAAGTTTCTCTCTTTCACCGAACTAATGGCCTTGTTAACTCATCGTAAATCACACTTCATTCAAACTCGACAGAAACAAAACAAAACTCTGGGTTAGTCTTTCCACTGCCGTGATCACTGGGAGACTGCTGAGCCTGGTTCTGTTTCCCGCTTGCCTGGCTCTGGTTCTAGTGCCTATTCCAGACTCAGTCAGCTGCTCAACTAACTGAGCTAACTAGCTAATGGCAGATAGCAGCGGTTATGACCTGATGTGAAATACGTAGGAATTTGACAGGTGGAGAGTAGTCTCAGTTCTTACACATTGTGCATAAATGGAGACATTAAAAACTCCTTGTTGTACATTTAAAGTACTAAATAAGTGTTTGTTTTTTCCTTCACAGTACATGTTCCAGAACCAGGAAGCGGAGGCCTTTCCAGCTACTGGCTGTGAGGAACAGTGATCAATCTGTGCTGTGGACTCTCCTTTCTAAAGCGGAAGGTAACAATCCTGTTACCTGTTATTTAATCTGTTACTTAAGTGGTCAGTATTTCAACATCTGGAGGACAAACTAATCTCTCAGTGCTAATTAATCAAAGGATAAGGCTAGTGATAGTATATATTTTTGTTAATGTCAACAAATGTAATGATTTTTATTCACTAACCTTCTGACTTCCATGGCATGTCTGTGGCATTCAGCAAGTACATTGGTTTCTAGTGAAGACATAAAACAGGTCAAGAAAACTACAGTCCCGTGTTCATGGTAATAAAGGAACATGTTGCCCAGTGCCACCATGTTTCTCATTGTGTTCATAACATTCAAACTTATATACCAACAGACCTATCCATAAAAATAGGAATAGTAGATAATTATTTGTCAAACACCATCCGTCAAGCTTATTTTAAAAGACAACAGTTTAGTCCAAATGCTTGTAATACACTGAACAAAATTATAAACGCAACACTTTTGTTTTTGCCCCCATTCATCATGAGCTGAACTCAAAGATCTAAGACTTTCTCTAAGTACACAAAATGCCTATTTCTCTCAAATATTGTTCACAAATCTGTCAAAATCTGTTAGTGAGCACTTCTCCTTTGCCGAGATTATCCATCCACCTCACAGGTGTGGTATATCTAGATGCTGATCAGACAGCATGGGTACTGAACAGGTGTGCCTTAGGCTGGCCACAATAAAAGGCTCATAATAAATGAGTTCAGCTGATGATGAATGGGGGCAAAAACAAAAGTATTTTGTCTATAATTATGTTCAGTGTACTTCCAGAGCATTAAAATATATCTTAAAATGTTTCCATAAAAATACAATACAGAGTAATTATGAGAGCGTAATTGGTTCAGTAGGTTACTTTTATGAAAATAACTATTTGGCACATTTGCTAAAACTGTCACTAGATCCTGACAGCAGTACATGAGACAGATAATTTAAAAAAATGATTAAATAAATCTATCTATCTATTGCTCCTAATGCCATTTGCAAGAATCCACCATGGCGATTAAAAACAACCAAACAGATCCAGGAGCAGTCTTTAACGCAGTGTGAATCACTCCTCGTGCAGCTGCGCAGCCCCCCTACTCGCACAGTTAAGCTCAACATCTTCTTCGTGGCTCAGGGATGAGGCAACTGCAACAACGTCTAACAGAGGCTGGTACACCACTGCCCCCCCTCATAAGTTATCTAAAAGTCTGCATGTGGCATTAGGAGCAGTAGGAGGAGCCAGAGGAACCTTTTTTTTCATCTGTACCTGTATGATCTTGAACAAGTGGACTATTATATTTGCTTAGGGTGAGCTGATCACTGATCTTTACTGATCATATATAGTAGTATACATATACATATACATATATATAGCGCCAAATCACAACAACAGTTATCTCACAGCACTTTTCATAAAAGAGCAGGTCTAGACCGTACTCTGTGATGTTATTTACAGAAGCCCAACAACAGTGTCCCTACTGTATTTTCATCCAAGAGTACCAGGTTATTCAGTTAACTGCGGTTTTCCTCAGCTCTATTCCTCCATGTTTAAATATGGCGCTGCTCATCTCTTCTCATTTCTCTCCTCAGGCCACAGAAGCTGCGGATCCCCTCATTATTCCACTCTTCATGAGTTTGATCCCACGGCCCTGACAGGCTGTTTCTTACACATTGCTTTGTTCACATTCCCGTACCTACAAAATGCAGTAATGAAAAAGCTTATATTTACTGGTCAGCTGACTGCCAGTGGACCTTTCAACTACCAGCTCTGTGGGCACGACCGCTGCCTGCCTGAGGAGAGACACTGGTCTAAGTTTTCCATAGTTACCCAAACAAAGAAGCGTGATATGACATAATCATATATAGACTCCAATATTAAGCCAGCTGGATGCAGACAGTGCATTCTTGGCTCCAGCACTTTAATCTTTGTGTGAGAGGGAGTTCCTGCTTGTGGACGTGATTTTTTCTTCCTACTGTATAAAGAATCTACTACGGATGTACAAATGAATATTTTTATCATTTTATCCTTATTACAAAAATACTGTATTTGTATCCAAGAGAAAACTTTGACAAAAAAGACGCTGTGAAAAACCATCTTGGGGGGGCAATGTAGCATACTGTATATTACAAGTTACGTGAATTTTTTTCAGTCTGTGAAAGGGTGTAGAAATTTAAAGGGCTCCTCGTATACTTCATGGATTTCAAATCATGATAAATGTGTTGAGATAGATCAGAGGTGAGTTAGCCTTCTGTGATATGAAAGTTCATCTAGCAAAAATATGGATTCAAGCCACTCTAAAATCCATTAAGAAACCTTTAGCATATCATGATAGGAGGTTTGACACACTTAAGCACTCATCTAATGTATCTTTGCACAGGCCTGACATGTAGCCAGAGACTTAGAGTTACTTCTCTTCTGTCCATTTAAATGTGAAGTTTAAAAGGAATTATTAAAAGATAGACTTCTCATTTGACAAAACCATGAACACCACTGCATTTTTGCACAATCTGTATCACTAGTTATATATAGTTATGACAACAGGTCATTTATTTTCTGTTTGTAGATGACCAACACTTTGTTGCTCTACACATGCATGTCTAAAAGAGAAACTGGCCACAATAACAGGGTTTTCCAAAAGCAAAATTTAGAGACACAAGGTCTCTTAATGTTACTACCGTTTTCACTTGGAAACAAAGGCCACACGTTGACTCAAGACTCAAGACCCTGATAAACAGTCAAAACAGTGGGATACTATTTTTCATACTTTCTAAAAAAAAAAAAAAGAAGAAAAAAAACAAAAAACAAATACTCAACTGTCCAGGAGCCAGTCTTAAAAAGATTTCATTATGGTTGACTGTGTTTCATTAAATGTATGGTGGGGTGGTTACTTGAGAATTTAATCTGTTATAAAACCATGAATACCTGGTTGAAAAAAATGCATTTTAATTCTCTGGATTTCCAAAAATCATTAATAACTAACTGATTATGCCATTTGATGTAAAATACTAGTCCTAAGCACTGGTTGCAGGCAACAGTTTAAAAGGTTAACTTAGTGCTAAACATTCTTCTGGGAAACTTCCAGGAGATTATTTGCATCGTGCAATACTGTACAGAACTGTGAGAACTCACAAAATTGCAATACATGGATGACCATAGGAATGTAGGAAACAGCAACTGTGAGTGGTGGACTGGAACACACCATAGTAAGATGCACTGCAGAAGGACAATGTTAGCCTGTGAGTCTAAAAGCTATCTCTTTACACTGAGTTGGACAAAAGCCTCAACTTTACAATTTTGGGGAGGCGCACGGCAGCTAAAATGTACATAGCCTCTAGCGAGGAGAAGGCAGCTATGTGCACAGCTTCGTAGCTATGATGTAACCCCTAAACACATAAACAGAACAGCAGTACATTTCTCCCCTGTGTCAATCTAAAAGCCCTGCTAGCTCTCTACGCAGAGGTGGACAGAAGCCCTAATTTGTAGTCACATTTTTTGGGAGGTACGCATCAGCTACAACATAGCCTATGGTGAGGCTATGTCGAGGTTATGACAGATAAGTACGTAGCTTTGTAGCGCAGAACTAGAAATACAGCTTTAGGAACACTTTTTTGCGCTGATTAGCTTCTACAATTTGTCCTGTATGAATCTAAAAGTCAGGCTAGCTCTAGTCAGGCCGAAAGGATTTAAACCAACTAAACGACCGGCAACTCCATCGTCAGAGCTACACACTGCTGCTAGCAAGGCTATAAATCAGGGCAGCCATTTGCATTAGCTTTTTGAAAAGGGCTAACATTGCATTTTATCAGTGATGTACTTTTGAATTCTTGTGTACTACTACTACTTATGACTTCCAACTACTTTTACTTTCTCATTATCAATATTGTAACTACTGAATTTATAATACTGGAACTTTGCATCTAGATTTGGTAGTGTGGTTCTGCGAAAGTTGAAAAACAAATTCCTGACATAGACATGATTACAGTTGGGGTTTTATATGTCTGAATTAAGAGAGGGAAAAAGTGAAAGTGCAGACTTAACTAAACATTATATTATTTTTGCCAAATTAAAAGGCTAACGCAAACTGCCCCCTGCAGGGTGACATTTTTGTGACAGACCTCCCTTCTCAGTGCATGCTTCAGGAGAAGAGCGAAAAAGCAAGCTGTGGTGTATAACAAGTGAAATTGCACTAAAAATCACAGTTGTATGAGTATACGGTATATTTTAGACATAGCATTTATTCTTGTTCCTCATATGAGTGTGTTAATGATTTTTTTCAAGGAGTGATGAACGCATACATTCAGTTGCTGTTGTGTTCTTAATTTATTCTGTTTTCCATTTTAATCATTTGCACTGGAAATGAACGGATGTGTGTTCAAATGACATTTATGCTTGTCAGGATTGCAAATAGATGAGGAAGTATTTTTGTTAACTGAGTGAAAAGACCTCTGCTGTAACAAAGCCTGGCATCCCAAAAGCACTTCTACACTATGAATGGACAACAATACATTAGCAAATCAATACATATAACATAATAATTAAAGAATCAGCAAAACCCTTTATTATTACAACAAAGTACACCCGCTGTCTACAAAGACACGGACAATCTTATTACTTAAATGCTTTTGAAAGTGGGCCACAATCTTCTGAAAATGTGTTTTAAATAGTTTTTTGCAAAGACTAAAATGTAATGTTACAGAGAGTCAAAAAAACTGAAATGTATTACACCTTTGTATGAAATATTTAAGTTGTACAAACAAATAAAAGTGAAAGAAAGCAGACACAGAAACATTTTGATTACTTTCTTTGAATGAATGCATGACTTCGATGAATTGTTGTGCATTTACTATCTGCAATTGACCATTAGCAATTGTAATTGACCCTGAACTGTACGCACAGCAGATGTGTGAATCTTTGGATTTCTCTTGACTTGAGCAGTGTGGATCAGGCTGTATGAGTTTGGAGAGTGATGTGTTTTGTCTTTGCAAAATCAAAAATACAATAACAGATGAAAGAAATTGATTTATCAATTAGAGCAGACAATTTTTGGATGCTCTATAAGGTAAGCTGCTAACATTAGCCTGCCCAGCAGTAGTAACCTAGCCAATTACCAAATCATTAACTAACTACGGAATTATGTGGGGTTACATCACAGTCATCCTGTAAAATACAGAATCGTCGTGTATTTGAAAACAAAAAGATATGCTCCGTATTGAAGCGGTATGGGATGCACTTTGTTCCGTATTTATGAGACTCACTTGACTCACAACCAATGAGAAGTGTGTATGACAGCGTTTCTATGATACGCCTGACAACAGTATGGTTAAAACTTCTTCTTACAGCCAAGTATATGAGCATTTTTATATTATCTTTAGATAAGTCTACTACTGAAGGGTAATGCAGGTGTTTTGGACAAAATAGGCGTTGGGCTAAAATAACAACAACATAAGGCTACTGTTTCAAAATCAAAGAATAAATTTATTAATCAGTTAAAATACTGTTTATACTGCAATTCATATGAACAGATGTATTTGATTCCATATAGCTTAGTTTTCCAGATCTATGTATTTTTTGTATAACTGTAAAAAAACCAAACAAATCAAATGACTGCAATTGCTGGTAGCTTATGTTGACTTTCTAAATTACTATCCAAATCAGAATCTCTGGTGCAGCAAATATCGGCAAAAATGAAGTCAGAATGCAGTAATTCATGACTGATTTCATACCAGTGAAGATAATATAAATAATTAGGGCTGAACCATTTGGGGAAATAATCTAGTTACGATTTTTCTGCCAGATATTGCGATTATGATTCGATTTGCGATTTATTTATTTATTTTTTTAAAGTTTTGCTTAAGTTCAATATTCACTGCCAGTCTATTTTTGATAGAAGCCGCGTCAAGCAACACAGAGCAGATGAACCAGGCAGGAAGTCAGACACAGAACGGCACAGAGGATCTGGTCGATTTTCAAAATAAAACACCCTTTGCAAACTCCCGATTGTACATCAACAATAAAAAACAGACAAAAAGAGAAACAATTTAAATACGAAACCTACTTAGCCATAGTTAGTTGACGCCGGACAAAACCATGACACAGCCGCTGCCTGTCTCAGTTTGGCTGGCGCCATTATTCCATGTTTCCTCTGGTTTCGTTTGTTGTAAAATGTATGCACCCTGTGCCCGCTCTGATTGGTAAGTAGGAACGTAACAGAAGGAGCATGGAGCTTGTGATGGCAAGCAAGTCTGTCACACAAGGATGACAACGGAATGAATTTGTAACTGCATGACCGTTTAAAACGGGTGAGATAGAGTGAGGAGACAGACAAGGGTCCAAAACAAGTGAGTTATCCAATCCAAAGCACACAAATCCAAACACAGAAACGAAGACGATCTCACAACTGACAATGAGGCGACACATGCTTAAATACCCAACGGACAGGTGGAAACAATAATCAACACAAGGACAGGATGTGAAGTGAGAAAGACATGACGACGGATTTAACACAATAAAATCAAAACCAAAACCATGACCAATATATAAAAATAAAACAATACACTGAATAATCTTACTCTCGCTGCAACATAAACGGCACCAATTTGTAACAATATACTGACAGACTGACAGGACAAGTGGATTTTCAGTATGATGACTGTCCCTAACATGTCCATGGCATCCACATGTAACACATTACAAAGTGCTGCACAGACGGGATCTACTTCAGAAAACAATTTTGTTCTTACCTCCAGCACCATGAAGAGATCTCCATCACCTTTTCATCAGCTCAGTCAGAGAGTGACATTATTATTTTGAATGCTACATTATGTTTTTCTGTCTGTCTTCTGATTTACTTTGTCCTCCTCTGCCTGTTTTGTTTTCCTTCTCTGTCATTCTATTATTCCTTTAATTGCATTATCATTTTATTTACATTGCTTTTGCTTTTAAACTCATACAAAATTATCTTTTGAGTTGCACTATACAAATAAACTTATTATCTTCACATGATGTCTGAGGATGTACAACAGAGGCTGAGGTGGGTCCATCTGTAATAGCCAGCACACAATGACTGGAAAATATGGCTTCAAAAAACATGCATTTCATTTAAGAATGCCAGTTATCTTTTGTCCTCCACGTGGCACAAATAACCAGCGCTAACTGCCAGCCTGGACAGTAACGTGTCCTAGATAGACCTGCAATTGTGGTCGTTTAACAGTGCTCATTTACAAGGCTGCCAGATTTCAGTGCATTGCAAGGATATATTTAGCAAAGTGTAGGTACAATCTCAAGGATAAGAGCCACTGTCTTTTTTTAATTCACTTTGTCTCTGTTGGTAACATAAATCTCTTGAGATTCATGCTAACATGCTACATTATCAGCATAGCATGTGTCTGACAGCTACAGAAACCAGATCAATATGACGGGAAGGAACTGTTTTTGTCACTGTTTTTGTCCTGATGGACCGCAGCCTCCTGCCAGAGGGGAGAGTCTGAAACAGTTTGTGTCCGGGGCGGGAGGAGTCAGCTGCAATCTTTCCTGCTCGCCTCAGAGTCCTCGAGGAGTACAGGTCCAGAAGAGAAGGAAAAAACCCTCCATCTCTGAACTAAATGACTACATGCCCGTCGCCCTGACATCTGTAGTCATGAAGTCCTTTGAAAGACTGGTGTCCCCCTGCTGGACCTCCTGCAGTTTGCCTACAGGGATAACAGGTCAGTGGATGATGCAGTCAACTTGGGACTGCATCTCATCCTGCAACACCTCGACTCTCCAGGCACATATGCTAGGATCCTGTTTGTGGACTTCAGCTCGGCATTTAACACCATCATCCCGGACATCCTCAGCACCAAACTCACCCAGCTCACTGTGCCAGCCTCCACCTGTCAGTGGATCACAGACTTCCTGACTGACAGGAGTCAGCAGGTGAGGCTGGGGAACATCACATCCAGCACCCGGACTATCAGCACTGGCGCCCCCCAGGGGTGTGTGCTCTCCCCCCTGCTCTTCTCCCTCTACACCAACGACTGCACCTCAGGAGACCCATCTGTCAAACTCCTGAAGTTCGCTGACGACACAACGGTCATCGGCCTCATCCGGGACGGTGATGAGTCGGCCTACAGACCGGAGGTTGATCAGATGGCTCTCTGGTGCGGCCAGAACAACCTGGAGCTTAACACGCTCAAAACTGTGGAGATGACCGTGGACTTCAGGAGGAGCCCCCCCACTCTTCCCCCCATCACCATACTCAACAGCCCTGTGTCTGTTGTGGAATCCTTCAGGTTTCTGGGTTCCACTATATCCCAGGACTTGAAGTGGGAGCCAAACACGGACATGATCATCAAGAAGGCACAGCAGAGGATGTACTTCCTGCGTCAGCTCAGGAAGCTCAACCTGCCTAAGGAGCTGCTGATCCAGTCTGTCCTTTGCACGTCCATCACTGTCTGGTTTGGATCTGCCACCAAAAAGGACAAGGACAGACTACAATGGATAGTCTGGACTGCAGAAAAAATGATCGGTGCCAACCTGCCCTCCATTCAGGACTTATACATTTCCAGAGTCAGGAAACGGGCAGGAAACATCACTGCAGATCCATCTCACCCCGGACACAACCTGTTCCAGCTCCTCCCCTCTGGTAGGCGCTACAGAGCACTGTACGCCAAAACCAACAGACACAGAAGCAGTTTCTTCCCACAAGCCATCACTCTGATGAACAGCTGATTTCTGACTCACAGTGTCAGGAACAATTCCTGTGCAATGTATATACTGTATACCAATACACCTACCTCAGGTCATAAGGTCATATGTCTTATTTATTTTTTCCAGCATCCTTTGCACTATGCTCCATCACACTGTGTACATGTGTACATGTATGTGTACCTGTATATCATATCCACCTTCAACATGTACATAATGAGAATAGTTTACTCCTGCATCCTTTGCACTCTGATCACTGCACTATTTGTCAATATGTCTACGTATATTGTTTTGTTCATAGTGTGTATATTAGTGTTGTGTATTCTGTAGTTTGTGTCTGATTTTATTTTATTATTATTTTATTATTGTGTTATTGTATTATTGTATAAGTAAGCACATCGTGAGCAATGTACAGTCAAATTCCTCATATGGGTACACATACCTGGCAATAAAACTGATTCTGATTCTGATTACTGCATCATCTACAGACCTGTTGGCTCTGTAGGCGAACTGCAGGGGGTCCAGGAGTGGGTCTGTGATTGATTTAAGCTGGGACAACCCAAGGCGCTCAAAAGACTTCATAACCACAGAGGTCAGGGTGACAGGTCTGTAGTCATTTAGTCCAGTGGTCCTTGGTTTCTTGGGGACAGGGATGATGGTGGAGGCTTTGAAGCAGGCTGGCACATGGCATGTCTCCAGTGAGGTGTTAAAAATGTCTGTGAACACTGGAGACAGCTGATCAGCACAGTGCTTCAGGGTGGATGGGGAGACAGAGTCCGGCCCAGATGCTTTGCGGGGTTTCTGCCTCCTGAAAAAAAACATTGACTTCCCTCTCTGTGATGGAGAGAGGAGGGGAGGGGGTGGAGCTGGCCAGCTCTGAGGAGTGGGGGGAAAAGAAGTGGTGGACTGAGGCTGAAGCTGAGCGGAGGAGTCACAGGGGATGGTGTCCGATTGACTCTCAAAGCAGCAGTAGAACTGGTTCAGCTCATTTGCCAGGAGAGAATCGTTTATGGAGTGGAGGACTTTGGGTTTATAGTTTGTGATCTGTCTGAATCCCCTGCAGACAGAAGTGGCGTCGTTTGCAGAGAACTGGTTCTTTAG